TTTTTGGTGAGACAGAAACAAGTTTTGGGTTCCTCCACCCTGTAATCAAAAAAAAGTACAGATTTATGTTGTTAACAAAAAGTATCAAAGAAAAACGTCTATTTTCTTACATCCCAATCTCCTTGCTATCCCCAGTACTGGGAGAGGAAGAACAGCATGAGATAGCTGGTAAAGCACCAAAGGATGCATGTTCGAATCCGAGCCAAGCCACACGGTCCATATGTGACCTTGGACAAATCCCCGACTTTGTTTCCTTCTCTAATTCATTATTTGTCTTCACTTAGACTGTGAAATCTTGAGGACAAAGGCTACGCTCTGGTTCTGTAGCATCTAGACATGATTCCAGGTGTGGCTCCACCTATCAGAAAATTAAAAAAGGAGATAAAAATGTGCTACCAAGATCAGTAAAAGGAAATCTCATCCTTTTGTGGAAGGCCTCCATAGAGGTATGATTTTCTTTTTTCATAGGATCCCAGACGCTTATTCTAGGGCATAGTGTTAAGAAATTAATATTCTTATCTGGAGCATCCGTTTATTTTAGGGATGAAGGTTGAAGTTCATTTGCTCTTTGTTGTAAACGCTCCAAGATGTTTAGTGTACATTCGAGGTATATATACACCTTACAAGCAGACGAGGCACAGATGTCTTTAAGCTGTATTTTTTACCTTCTATGGAAATGCCGGTGGAGCCAGGGGGACAGTCCTGAGTTAAAATAGCTCATACAAGAGTGTGCTGGAGGGCTCTTGCAGTGGTGCGTGACCTGGGAACTTCTGGCTGTACGAGGGCGAGCTGCGAGTGCCTCAAAGGGCAAGGGCTGGGCTCCTGAGCTGGAACTGTAACACATTTGCGCTCTGCCTCTGATACATTAAAAAAAGTTCAGATTTTTGTTCTTAAAATTTGCACGAAAGAGAGGCCAAACTTTTTCTCTGAAGAACACAGGAGCATTTGGCGCGCAAGCTGCCTTTTTTTTTTTTTTTACTAGACAGTGACTTGCCCAAGATCGCTCAGTAAAGCAGCTTTAGGATAACCAAAACAAAACCCTATTGGCAGACCTCCCGCGTAGGTGCTTCCAGCCTGCAGCCCAACCACGGCCCACTGTGCCACGCCGTGCAAAGCGCGCTTCGCGTTTCTGCTCGGAGGGTTTCCCAAGCATCCCAGGGTCATCCTCATTGCGGAAGCTCGTGTGACCCTGAACCTTTTGCCATTCGAGTGAGCAGAGCTGGGCCTGGGCAGGCGGGACCTTGGCCAGGGTAATCCCTCTCAGGCGTCAGCTGTGCTTCTTCTCAAGTTTCTCATGCTGTTCCCTGCATGCTTTCAGCCGTGACCATTAGGTAAATTCCCTTGCTCGTGCCAGACACATCCCCACCAGTGATCCTTGACTACCTCATGCTAGTTAGAAAAATCTGCCAGGGTTGCCAATACCCACCATAAGTATCCATGAAAGGAGAAAGCAATGGCTTGTAGTCAAGGAATGCTAACTGCATGCTGTTTCGTTTTACTCTTCTTGCCATAGTGCTTTTTGTTCTTTCTACACGCTTGCACACGATTTGCATGGGCATGTTTTGTCTGAGGCTAAATAAGCTGAATCAAACGTATTGTGAGGATAATGCAGTATACATAGGGAGATAGTATTGCAGATATTTCTATCTTCTGCATGGAAGATACTTAGCATATTGCATCTTTATTCATTCCTTGTTTGCATTGGGTAATGGCTGTGTTTTTAGTTTTTAAGATTGCAATAAGTATGGAGAAAAAGTAATTGAACATTCAAAGCTCATTTCACATGCTTTCTGAGAATTTTCAAAGTACTATATGTTCATTGCATTCACAACGGTTAATGTTTTCTCTGCACCTTTTCTAACTGAACCCTGTGAGAGTCCCCTGAGAAAGACAAAGCACAGAGCATCTGTCAGCTGGCAGGAAGGGGAAACCAGCGTGTGCGATTTGCTCCTCTTGATCTTGCCATAGCCTTCCTGCTCGTCCTTTTGCTCGATTGCCTGGAGTCTCCCATCAGAGTTACAACATTGATATAGACTGTAGCTCATGCTGGGTGTTCACCCCGCCAGTCACAACTTCCTAGGCTGGCATTTTGCCCTTCCCTCTTGCTGTTGGTGCTTCAAGGCCATGGCTGTGAGTTCCTGGCACGCGTTCGGCAGTGGTTCCCTCCTTGTGCCTTGCTGTGCTTGGCCTGCACCCTCCTGCACTCTCCGGCACCCTCCGGCTGCCACCGGCCGTTGGGGCTGCAAAGGGGCAGCGTGTCCTTGTGCCAGCTGCAGCCTGAGCAGGGCATGGGGAAAGGTGAACGCAGGGAGCGCTAGTGGTGTGGACATTTCTACTAAAGCAGGACCAGCCCATTTACATCCAGTAAACTTAAGTGTTGTTAGTTACAGTTGTTATTTCTAAGATAGTAGGTGTAGGAGGAAAGGCAGAGGGACAGGGCTTACGCTTACCATGTCCAGCACAGTCCTGGAAGAGGAGCTGTGTCCTCTGCTGTCCCCAAGGATCATAGAAGGGTTTTGCCATAGGCATGGCCAGGTATGGATGTGTGTCAGGGCCGTTTGCTCAGGAGGGGTTTTCACACCAGTTGTTACTCTTATGCAATCCCGCTGCTGGCCACCAATGAGCAGAGGTAGGACGTAGCTGATCACTATGTGGTATGTGACTAGCTCAGGTTTGTCACCAGGCAGGAGATGGGTACCTGCTCTTTGCACAGCCCCTTGTCGGGGAACGATGTGTGACAGGATGGAGTAGGAGGGTGCAGGATGATTCCCTACCTCCTGCCATTGTGTCCTGGCAATGGCCTCCCCTCTTTCAGCTGCCGAAAGCCTCCCGCTGTCATATAGTGCATGTCCTGTAAGCATGTGTCTCTCTGCCACCCACACAAAGCAGGGCAATCAGCCATGTTGTTCTCCTGCCATGTCAGAAGGCATGGGAAAGGGAATGCTATGGCCCAAGGGGATGCCGTTCCCTGCGTCCTTGGCTCCGGCCCACAGCTGTGGAGGACGCAAAGGCTATGGGCTGGGAGCTGCTGCCCTGGCTCCAAGGAGCTGCATGGTGCCAACGCGTCCAGGAGAGACTTCCAGGGCAAAACCTGATCTATCCCCACACGTATGTTGTGGCAAGCCATAATGCTTGTTAGCATGAGGTAGACGAGTTGTAATTTCTTAAATTTAAAGTGGATGTGCTGGGCATCACATTTGTGATCATGCTGAACTGTGTGACTTCCTATTACTACTACGAGGAGGTTTTCCCAGGAGCAAAGACCAAAGCCGGGACACAGAGAGACCAGAACTTTGGTGTCTTCTGGCACCAACTAGCCCCTTTTCACTCCTAAGACTTCTCTGCAAGGAAAGAACAACGAATAACACAAGGGTTACTTTGCAGTTTACCAGACTTGTTTTACTGACTGTGCTTAAGGACGTGGTGTGTGTGCACTGACGCATGATGGGGTAGCATAACGGGAGTGTAATGGCACAAGGCCTGCTGAAACAGTGTTGAAGCAAAATATTCAGAAAAGGAACCCAAATCCAGTCCAGTCCAGGGTGCCTGCCCCCTCTATTTGAGGGGTACAGACTCTGGAACGAACCATCCCCTCTGTCCTGTGGATGGATTCCTCACCAGGGGAACTACTTGACTTGCCTAAGACCAGAGGGGAAACCTAAGACCCTCCCTCCCAGGAGGGGAGTGACATGTACACCTTTTAGATGACTGAGGGTTTAGGACAGTGGTATGAAACAAAGGAAGAACCAGCTTAACTGGGAAGAGGACCTAGGCTCCTACCCAGGGTCTCTTGAAGCCAGAAGTCATCATGTGCAGGGCTCCCTCATTCTCTGATTCAGCTTTCTATATCTGACCAAAGTATTTTGCTTCCAGCACTTATTTAGATGTTGCAGCTCAGCAACACATGGTGATTTTTGGAAATTAATTTGCAGTAATCTGAGACCCTTCACCATCTTTGCTCTTTCTTATACTTTCCCTCACGACGACCCTCCCAGGATCTCCTATGGATTTCCCAATCAGAAAATAATCAGAGGTGGGGAGGAAAACTCAAGATTACAACCAGTGGAAAATGTTTTTCTGTCAACCAAAAGAGATTATTTACCATTTACTTTTGCAATAGCCCAGGCCCAACCAATAAAAAAGCTGAGAAAAGCATTCCCAGCCAAACTTCAGCCAAAGTTTTAAGAAAGATGCTGTGAGGCAGATGCTCTGCTTCTG